GGGGGCTGGGCCGGCCCCGCCGATCCCGACCTAGCGAGCAGGACAGCAGGACCGCCCAGGCTGCCGAGGGGTCGGGGGCTGGAAGGGCAGAGCCGCAAGATGGCCGGTAAGACCAAGGCCAGCGAGGCCCTGAGGGTGGTGGCCCGGTGCCGCCCCCTCAGCAGGAAGGAGGAGGCTGCCGGTCACGAGCAGATCCTGACCATGGACGTGAAACTGGGCCAGGTGACCCTGCGGAACCCCCGCGCTGCCCCCGGGGAGCTGCCCAAGACCTTCACCTTTGACGCCGTGTACGATGCCAGCTCCAAGCAGGCAGACCTGTACGATGAAACCGTGAGGCCCCTGATAGACTCCGTGCTTCAGGGCTTCAACGGCACGGTGTTTGCCTACGGCCAGACGGGCACTGGGAAGACCTACACCATGCAGGGGACCTGGGTGGAGCCCGAGCTGCGCGGGGTCATCCCCAACGCCTTTGAGCACATCTTCACCCACATCTCGCGCTCCCAGAACCAGCAGTACCTGGTCCGGGCCTCCTACTTGGAAATCTACCAGGAGGAGATCCGAGACCTGCTCTCCAAGGAGCCGGGCAAGAGGCTGGAGCTCAAGGAGAACCCCGAGACGGGCGTCTACATCAAGGACCTCTCCTCCTTCGTCACCAAGAATGTCAAGGAGATCGAGCACGTGATGAACCTGGGGAACCAGGCCCGGGCGGTCGGCAGCACCCACATGAACGAGGTCAGCTCCCGCTCCCACGCCATCTTCGTCATCACCGTGGAGTGCAGCGAGCGAGGCTCTGATGGCCAGGACCACATCCGGGTGGGCAAGCTCAACCTGGTGGACCTGGCTGGCAGCGAGAGACAGAACAAGGTGGGCCCCAACACGGCTGGGGGGACAGCCACACCGTCCACGGGTGGCGGCGGCGGCGGCGGCGGCGGAGGCGGCGGTGGCGGCAGTGGCGGTAGTGGCGAGAGGCCTAAGGAAGCCTCCAAAATCAACCTCTCGCTGTCCGCCCTGGGCAACGTGATCGCCGCTCTGGCAGGCAGCAGGAGCACCCACATCCCCTACCGGGACTCCAAGCTGACGCGGCTGCTCCAGGACTCTCTAGGGGGGAATGCCAAGACCATCATGGTGGCCACACTGGGGCCGGCCTCTCACAGCTACGATGAGAGTCTCTCCACCCTGCGCTTCGCCAACCGAGCCAAGAACATCAAGAACAAGCCCCGGGTGAACGAGGACCCCAAGGACACGCTGCTGCGGGAATTCCAAGAGGAGATCGCCCGCCTGAAGGCCCAGCTGGAGAAGAGGGGGATGCTGGGGAAGCGGCCCCGGAGGAAGAGCAGCCGCAGGAAGAAGGCCGTGTCAGCCCCCGCGGGGTACCCCGAGGGGCCGGTGATCGAGGCCTGGGTGGCTGAAGAGGAGGATGACAACAACAACCGCCGCCCGCCCCAGCCCATCCTGGAGTCAGCCTTGGAGAAGAGCATGGAGAATTACCTGCAGGAGCAGAAGGAGCGGCTGGAGGAGGAGAAGGCGGCCATCCAGGATGACCGCAGCCTGGTGAGCGAGGAGAAACAGAAGCTTCTGGAGGAGAAGGAGAAAATGCTAGAGGATCTGAGGCGGGAGCAACAGGCCACAGAGCTGCTCGCGGCCAAGTACAAGGTAAGGCCCAGAGCAGCTGGGGCCCTCGAGGGGCCCCACAGGGATCCGGGCGGCAGGCTCTTCTTTGTGAGTCTGTGGCCTGGCCTGGAGTGATGGGGTTCCTCCTCAGCCCAGCACACTGGCCACGCACACACACGAAGCGAAGCGGGCAGGCAGGTGGTCTCTCAAGCCGGTGAGCTTGGGGTGGTCTGTCCCGCTGCTGTCGGCCCCTGCTGGTGGCCCCAGGATCAGTCCGGTCTGTGGGAGGGCCAGGCAGGACCTGAGCCTCTCGTGAGTGTGGGTTCTCACTCCTGCACAGTCTTCTCCCCCGAGACTTCCTCTTTCTGCGCCGTCTTCAAACCTCACATCATCTCTAAAGAATAGCATTTGGATAGCACGTCGGTCACACAGTGTCCCCACGTACATGATCTAATTTGGCCCTTCCAGTAGCCATTCAGGATAGCGGTTCCTAAATCCTCATTTCACAGGTGAGGGGCTAAGCCTCAGAGGAGTGACATGACCGGGGTTTCATCCTACAGAGTGGCAGAGCTGAGCTGGAACCCACGAACCTTGTGCTCTTTCAGTACTTAGGTGGCAAGGTGGGGCCGTGAATGGCTTCTGCTTCCTGTGAAGACGGTCCCTTGGGCGTGTGCAGTGCAGAGCCCATTGCTTGCTATCGTTAGGAAGGAAATTCAGGGGTCACTCAGGAGGTTGGAGGAGGCACCAGGCTCCATACCAGAAACCTAGAATCTGGCCTAGCTAGGCTGCAGCTCATGAGTGACCTCGTATGAATTGCTTCCCCTTTCCTCAGGCCACAGTTTGCCTTTTTGTAAAATAGAGAGTTGGCCTGGGTGATCTCTGAGGCTCCACCCATCTGGCAATCCCAAGACCTGTGTTAATCCGAGAAGGAGACCAACTGGTCCCCACGCCCAGGTCTCCTCACAGTAGCATCCAATTCCCTATGACCCTGGGAGACGTCAGGACCTCACCATCTTTGCTAAGCTGCTCTCTTCCCCCGTGGGACCCTCCAGACCCTAAATGGGGCCAAACTACAGAGGCCCCTGCCTGGCCAGTCACAGACCTATTAAATTTCAGTACTGCAGATGCCACACTTAGTGTTCCAGGCACTTCCAAGTCCCTGGAGCCTTCAGCACTAAGGGTTGAAGGAAGGACACGGGAAACCATGAACTTGCTGGGAGGAGCAAAACCCTGCCATTTCTGATTCCTTCTCATAAGTGTGGGCTGGGAGGCCCGGCCTACAGCCACTGGAAGAGTGGCGAATGAGCTGTATGCCATTGTCTGTTTTGGGAATGTGCTGCTGCACCAGGGCTCTGGCCTCACATATATAACATTTAATTTGCTTCTGTGAGCCCAGGAAGGCAGGTGCCGAGCTGCTTCCTCAAGGCAGGGATCAGAGACCTGGCACCATTAGGACCATCCTGGGAGAAGCAGGATGTTGGAGGCAGGGCAATTAGACTCAGCCCTCCATAGGAGGAAGGGAATTCAGGCAGTTTGATGTTTTCAACGGGGACATTTTTTTTTTTTTTTTGAGTCAAGGTCTCACTCTGTTGCCCATGCTGGAGTGCAGTGGCATGAGCACAGCTCACCACAGCCTTGAACTCCTGGGCTCAGGCAGTCCTTCCACCTCAGCCTCCCAAGTAGCTAGAACTGCAGGTGTGTGCCACCACACCTGGCTAATTTTTATTTTTTGTAGAGACAAGGTCTTGCTATATTGCCAGACTGGTCTTGAACCCCTAGGCTCAAGCAATCCTCCTGCCTCCGCCCCCCCAAAGTGCGGGGATTAATAGGCATGAGCCACCATGCCTGGCCTCAACTAGGAAATCTTTTTGTGTGTGTGTGTGTTGGAGTCTCACTCTGTTGCCCAGGCTGGAGTGCAATGGCACGCTCACGGCCACCACAGCCTCGACCTGCTGGGCTCAGGTGATCCTTCCGACTCAGCCTTCCAAGTAGCCAGAACTACAGGCACGGCTAATTTTTTGATTTATTGTAGAGATTAGGTCTCGCCAAGTTGCCTGTGGACTCAGGCAGTTCTCTCACCTTGGCCTCCCAAAGTGCTGGAATTTTAGGCGTGAGCCACCGTGCCCAGGCTTTATTTTTTTTTAGATGAGGTCTTCCTCTATCACCCAGGCAGGTGTCATGGCTCACCGCAGCCTCGACCTCCTGGGTGATCCTTCCACCTCAGCCTCCGAAGTAGCTAGGACTACAGGCATGTGCCTCCATACCTATAAATTTTTTTTTTTTTTTTTTTTTTGTGAGTTGGAGTCTCACTCTGTCGCCCAGACTGGAGTGCAGTGCCTGCTCCCGGCCACCGCAACCTCGACCTGCTGGGCTCTGGTGATCCTTCCGCCTCAGCCTTCCAAGTAGCCGGAATTACAGGCATGTGCTACCACACCTGGCTGATTTTTTGATTTATTGTAGAGATGAGGTCTTGCTGCCCAGGCGGGTCTCGAACCTGGGGGCTCAGGCAATCCACTCACCTCAGCCTCCCAAAGGCGTGAGATTACAGGCTGAGCCACCGAGCCCGGCTAAATTTTTTAATTTTTTGTAAAGATGAGATCTCACTATGTTTCCTAGGATGATCTTCAATTCCTGGGCTCAAGCAATCCTCCTCAGCCTCTCAAAGAGCTAGAATTACAGGCATGAGCCACTGTGACCAGCCTCAACTAGGAAATCTTAACTGATCGATCTAACATTGATTTCACTACCAAGACCCACTTCCCTGTTAATGCTGGGAGGATATAAAGGCTAAGAAGGTAGGAGAGAACAAAAGCATACTTCAGCTGCCTAAGGAAATGGGTAGAAAGGATAGAGTGGAGCTGATTGGCTCCCCTCAGTAAGATTCTTTGGCCCTTAAGGCCCTGTGAGGCACAGATAATAGTGACTATCAACAGATCAGGGCAACCAACACTAGAATCCTGGCACCAGAACTGTAACCCATGAAACACCACAGTCTTGTAGCTGGCAGGGACCTTGGAAAACTGAGGCCTGGACTTGTCCAGGGCCATGCAGGTGAATTGAGGAGAGACCGGATGCTATACCCAGCTCAGCATCTCTCCATTGGGTCAGAGTCCTGATGCTACCTGTGCTACTTGATAACTGGAGTAATTTGTTTTTATATAACACTTAATTTCACTTAGTCCTCCTAACAGCACCAAGAGATGGATATTATTATTTCCATTTGACAGGAAAACCAGGGCTGGAGAGATGGAGTGACTGTCTTATCAACTGGTGACCGTGACCTTGGCTGATAAACAGCCAAGTCAGGACTGGAACCCAGGTCTGATTTCCCTAGACCTGTGCTCTTTCCGGTCATCACAGATTCCTCCATGTTTGCTCACTGTGTGACTCAGGGCCAAGGCCTTTGCCTCTCTAGGCCTTGGGTTTCTCTAAGAAAGAGAAGCCTGACATGGCTCCCCAGGGAGTGGGTGAAATGGTTATTATGTGCCAGGCTTTCAGATATAAGCAGAGGGGGAGGGGTGCGGGAAATTCCAGAAGGGGAATGATTCCACATCCTGTGACTTCTCATCACACTCAGCAGAGGACAGTCAGCAGCCAGCAAGCCCAGAATGGAGTCTAAACAGAGGACTGAAACTCCCCATAACCCCAAGGCGCCACCTGGTTCAGTGCGGGATGTTTCTAGGATGGCAGAAACAATTGCAGGGCTCTTGAGGGATCCCTAGGGTAAAGAGGGGGAGTGTTAGAGATAACAACCCCGGTCCTGCCTGTTTCCCAGGGTTGTGCTGAAGATTAAATGAGATCATTAGCATGAAGGCATTTGAAATTAGTTGAAAGCAGCAAATAAATGGAGAGCATTAGCAGCCACCGGGTGGCTTCCGGCCACCTCACTGGGGTCCAGTGGTCTCCAGGACTGACGTCTTTGTTGTTAGCTTAATTTCTTCCTTACCCGCCATCCCAGCTATCTTGCCACCACCCTGCAGCTAACCTGGAGCAGGGCCAGGCAGGAAAGCTCTAGGAGGTCTCAGAAGACCTCGGGCGCATCCCAGAAATTAGCTGAGCCTTTGCTGCCTCCCGCAGCTCACTCCTGAGCGATGGCATCCACTCTGCTTCACGCCCCCCCACCCCCTCTCCCGTCTTCCAGTCCACACCCCCCTCTTGGGGCAGCTGAGCGGTAGTTGCCTCGACCCAGTGCCCTCATTCACTGCTTCTGACTCATCCTTGAGTCTGTCTCGCCAGCTCTCCCTGCCTGCCACCTCTGAGACTCCCTGTTCTCTTTGTTCTCCCCTCACTGTGCACAAACACCATGCCCGTCTCCTTGAGATCTCTTTTCGTCTCTCCTTTCATATTTGCCGTGGGCCTCGGGGGATGTCAGGGTGTGCGAGCTGGTGAGGATTTGTGATGACGATCCGTGCCCTGTTTCTGGTTCATCATTAGCCATCCACATTTAGGTAGTGTCTAGCGGAGGGAGGGTGTGTGCAGAGGACTTGATGGCATTCTGGGCCTATAAGGCAGAGGAATAGGTACCATCATAGACCCACAATGCGCAGGGAAGACTCCGGGGTTTATGGACAGTGCACGTACTGCAATGATGACTGTGGATGCGCTTAGATTGGTTGGGGAAAGGCCCACTGCGCCCAAATATAATCACACCAGGAAATAATTTAAATAACTGCTCTAATTTTGAAATTAATTTTTTGGAGGGGTTAGACTAGATGACTCCTAAAACTTTGATGATAGCTATTTAGAGAAAGAGGAGAGCGTTATGTGAGGCAAAGCCTGCAGGTGACACAAAATACAAGCTTGCATTGAAGAGGTAGAAACACCAGCATTGGGCCGAGTGGAGTGGCTCAGGCTTATAATCCCAGCACTTTGGGAGGCCGAGGCAGAAGGATCCCTTGAACCCTGGAGTTCGAGACCAGCCTGGGCATCATAACAAGACCTTGCCTCTGCAAAAAAAAAAAGTTATAAATTAGCCAGGTAGTCCTAGCTACGTAGGAGACTGAGATGAGGGGTAGTAAGCTATGATCATGCCACTTTACTCTAGCCTGAGTGACAGAGCAAGACTCCATCTCTAAAAAGAGAAGAGAAACAACAGAGCAGCCACGGTGGCTCAAGCCTGTAATTCCAGCACTTTG